CCCCAAGCCAAAGGAGGGCGCCCGGTTGGGTCGTGGTTGGCGTAGGTGGAGGTGGAGAGGGGTGGGGGGAATTCTCTTTGCTCGCTCAGCGTGCGCTGTGGCGAGGCGCGGGGCTGGCGGTGATAGCATTGGGCGTATCGGTGTCAACATGTGGGCAGGACGAGAGAACTTTGGTGCAAAAAGGAGCGGGCATACTGGTAGCAAGGGGTGGTGCTAGTAGGAGGGCGGGTCGGGGGGTGGCAGGTGTTGCGAGCCTGGCCGTGTAGGGTTTAGGGGTTCAGGGAACAAGGTCCAGAGTGTGTTGTGGTGGACGCGATCGCTTTTGCGGTGATTTGGAGCGGGTTGTACTGAGCGGTGCATGTGGCCCCACCACACCACAGGCCCACCCACGGCGCGGCCCACGCTCAACCTGACGGCCGTCGCCGACACGGACGTGTTCCTGCGCTGCCCGGTGGCGGGCTTCCCCGTGACGAGCGTCACTTGGCAGCGCGCCGGCAGCCGCCTCCCGGACACGCTGCGCCAGCGGCTCTTCCCCAACGGCACGCTGCTGCTGCGCGGCGTGCAGGGCGCCCAGGACCGCGGGCTGTACGCGTGCACCGTGACCAACCAGCAGGGCCAGCTGGCGGCCAGCGCGCTCCACCTCAACGTCATGAGTGAGTACTAAAGAACAAGTCAAGTGCCGAGAAAAATATTAAAAGGAAAATGTTTGTTACTACTTATGAAACTTTTCGACAATTTTCTTTCCAAAAAAGTAAAAAAATTCTAGTTTGTTTAAAATCTTGTAATTAGTGAGGTACTTGTGCTGTGGGTGGTCATGTTTCAAGTTTTGCTTTTGTGAACGGCTGGGTTTGAATGTTTCTCACGGAATATCTCTCTGTCCTCACAGAGCCGCCCGTGATCGTGCCCTTCTCGTTCCACTCGGGCCTGGAGGACGGCAACCGGCTGCAGGTGTCGTGCAGCATCATGTCGGGCGACCTGCCCATCGCCATCGAGTGGCGCAAGGACGGGCGGCCGCTGCCCGCCGACCCGAGCGTCTCCGAGCAGCAGCACCAGTTCGCCTCCAACCTGCTGTTCAGCGACCTGGGCGCGCGCCACTCGGGCAGCTACACCTGCGTGGCCAGCAACGCGGCCGCCTCCGCCAACTTCACCGCGCCGCTCGTGGTCCGAGGTAGGTGACCAGATGCGCTACCTCGAGAGAGTTTGGCGCTTGTGGCGAGTCTCAAGTGCGCCTTTCGTCTCTGCCGTAGTGCGGCCTCGCTGGCTGGTGGAACCCCAGGACGTGGAGGTCCTGCACCAGGAGTCGGCCGCCGTGCACTGCCGGGCGTCGGGCTTCCCGGAGCCGACCGTCACCTGGCTGAAGGCCCCCGAGCAGGTGGGGCCCGGGTCCGGCTCGGGGCCCCCGGCGGCCGCGCTCGCCCCGGTCCCGGACGAGGGCAGCGCGGCAGAGTACGCGCCGCTCGGCGACCCGCTGCTCGCCGTGGCGGAGAACGGCAGCGTCCTGGTGGCGGCCGCGCAGCCCTCGCACGCCGGCCGCTACATGTGCCAGGCCAGGAACGGCATCGGCCCTGGCATCAGCAAGGTGGTGCACCTCCGCGTCAAAGGTGGGTTGTGTTTTAGCACAAGTAATGAGTATATCAAGGTAACACTAGTGTTATTTCAAGTACAACCTGCACTCTTGTGACCTGCAGTACCAGCGCACTTCCACACCCGGGCCGTGAACGTGAGCGGGGCGGCGGGGCAGTCCGTCGTACTGGAGTGCGCGGCGTCGGGCGACCAGCCACTCAGCATTGTGTGGACGACGCCGGACGGCGAGGAGCCGTCGCCGAACCGCGTCCTGGAGACGCCCACCTTGTCGCCGAGCTCTCGGCGCCCCGGGCTCAGCTCGCAGCTGCACCTGACGGCCGAGCGTCGGCTCGCGGGCGCCTACCGCTGCACTGCCACCAACAAGCACGGCTCCGACACCACCACCGTGTTCCTCGCCGTGCAAGGTGGGTGTGCCGCGGAGAGGCCGAGGAGTTAATAGAAGAGGACGACAACTGCATTTTGTTTAATTTTGAAAGACGTTGTCACAGTTTTCCAAGGGCACCAATTGGCCAAAATGTTGTATTTAGTCCACGTCCCTCGGTGTATTTGTCTTGTTCGAGGGCCCTTATGTTGCTGACACGTGCGTTTTGTCCGCAGAGGCGCCCAGCGCCCCGGTTGGCGTGGAGGTGCTCGAGGCCGGCAGCCGCTGGCTGACCCTGGGCTGGGTGCCGGACCGCGCGGGCGCGACGCACCACGTGATCCAGTTCCGCCGAGAGCTGCCACCGACGCCGAGGGTGCTCTCGCCCTCCGCTGGCGGCCCCGAGATCGGCGACGCCAGCCCCCCCGGGGCCGCGGGCCAGCAGTGGTACAACGTGACGGTGTCCGGAGCCGGGGCGGGGGCGGGCAGGCCGGCCAAGTTGACGGGCCTGGAGCCGGCCACTGTGTACGCCGTGCGCCTCCTTGCCGCCAACGAGGTGGGCGTCGGCCCGCCCAGCGACACCGTCACGGCGCAGACGCTGCAGGAGGGTGAGTTAGAGTTCTGAAGGAGGTGAAAATACGCCGTTCATTCGCCGTTACGAATCGGCCAAGTTCAGCCTCTACAAGCTGTCGGAACGCCTGTTAGATAGGCAACATCTTGCCTGCAAGACATGCATGTGCTGCGGGCCGGCCTACCCTGGGTCTTGCAGGCGCCGAGCTCGAATGAATCTGAGAAAAAAGACGTTCTTACTGGAAAATCCCATAGGTTTTTCCAAAGTATCAAAATAATATAGGTGTCGTTTAATGTTAAAAAGTTGTAACATTAAGGTAACATTAGCTTTTAAGTATTTCTTGTCTTGTTTGCTCACTTCAGGTTTTTAATCTCTAATCACGATTGCTCTTTTGTTTTCCAGCCCCCAACATGCCACCCGCGGACGTGTCAGTGGAGCCCTTGTCGCCGGGGTCGCTCACCGTGCGCTGGAAGGTGAGTCCGCGTCCCTTACAGCGCGGCGGAGCTGCAGCGAGACTCGCCAGCTGTGGCTCACCGTACTCACCGCGCTCTGTCCCCCGCAGTCCGTGTACAGCTCGCCCAGCTCGTCCGCGCTGCTGGGCTACCAGGTGCGCTACCGGGCCGTGTCGCTGGCCGGCCAGCCGTCCCTCAGCGCGCTGCTGCTCCCCGCCTCCTCGCTGCCCGCCGACCTCGACGCGGCCGCGCTGGACGCCCCCGCGGCGCCCTGGGTGTCCCGGACGGTGCGGGGCGGCGGCGGCGCGCCCAGGCAGGAGCTGGTGCTCGAGGGCCTGGAGAGCTTCACGCGCTACGAGGTGACGGTCAGGGCCTTCAACGAGGTGGGCAGCGGCCCCGCGTCCCTGCCCGTCATCGCCACCACGATGGAGGGTGGTGAGTACTACAGCGTGTGACACTCGAGGAAGTGCATGAAGCACTATTGCCTACACGAGCGTCCTTCTTCCCCTGGCAGTGCCGACCGAGCCGCCCGGCTCCGTGCGCTGCACGCCCCTCACCTCTCAGAACGTGCGCGTGCGCTGGGAGCCGCCGCCCAAGGCGGGCCGCCGGGGCGTCCTGGACGGCTACAAGGTGTTCTTTCGGCGGAAGCCTCCCACCGGGCTGTCTGTTGGTAAGGGTGGCCGCCGTGATTTTAAATGTTTGTACCTCTTGAACAAGGTGTGAACACCGCAGCATTGAGCATGTTGTTTCGCCCCGCAGCCTGGATGACTCCGCGCCCCGAGATGGAGGTCAAGAAGACCATGAACCTGGAGACGAATCTGTTTGGGCTGGCCAAGTTCAGCAACTACACGGTGCAGGTGGCGGCCCTGACCGGCGCCGGGGAGGGCGTCCGGTCCGAGCCGGTGCACTGCTCTACTGAGGAAGACGGTGAGTAGTGCTTGCGATGCGAGCTCAAAGCTCTGGTGGCGTGGTAAAGTAGAACGCTGTGTGACCGTGTCGCTTCCCCCTTGCGCAGTGCCCGGGCCCCCGGAGCAGGTGAAGGCCCTGGCCATGTCCTCGGACAGCATCCTGGTGACGTGGACCCGCCCCCTCGAGTCTAACGGCAACATCGTCAGGTACCTGGTCTACATGAAGCCCTACCAGCCGGACGGCCATTCCAGCAAGGTAAGGACACGCTACTAGGTGCAAGGACCTCCCTCGCTTGTGTGATCTGGGAGTACTTCATGGGGGCGCTGTGCAGGACGCTCGCCGGGAGGTGTCTTACGCCAGTGGGGACCGCGGCGCGGAGCTGGCCTACGAGGTGCGTCGGCTCCAGGAGTCTGAGCGGCTGGAGTTCTGGGTGGCGGCGTACACGAGCGTCGGGGAGGGCCCGCCCAGCGCCCGCGTCAGCCAGGCGCCCGTGTCCAGAGGTGAGTCTTGAGCACCTTGGTAGCGAGTCAGAGCTTCTCTAACAACAAGCAGTTTTTGGATTTGGGACTAACTGACTGGCCGTTGCCGCAGTGCCCGCCCGGATCGCGTCATTTTCGCGCACCGCGGCGGCCGGCGAGGGCCAGATGTTGACGCTGGCGTGCCGCGCCGTCGGCGTCCCGGCGCCGGCCAGAACGTGGCGCGGGCCCCGCGGGCTGGCGCGCACCGTGGCGGCCAACGGCGGCCAGGGCGACGGCCAGGCCGAGGACAACAACAACCGGGCGGTGCTGCTCGGGGACGGGTCGCTTCGGCTCGGCCCGCTGTCGCACCAGGACGCCGGCAACTACTCGTGCCGCGCCGTCAACGTGTTCGGCAACGACGAGGTGCAGTACCGCGTGGTAGTGGTGGGCCCGCCCGCCGCGCCCGCCCTGACGCTGGCCGCCACCTCGGACCGCACCCTCACGCTCACGTGGGCCGCCAGCGACCCCGGCGGTGCGCCCGTCACGGGTGAGTAGCACGAGATGTATACGTGTGTAACGTGATTTGTGTACGAAATCGGACGCTGACTGGGCGCTGCTGCTCGCAGGCTATGTCCTCCACTTCAAGCGCGAGCTTGGCGAGTGGCAGGAGCGCGAGCTGGACGGCGAGCTCTCGTCCTACACGCTGACGGGGCTGCGCTGCGGGTCGCTGTACCTCCTCACCCTCACGGCCGTCAACAGCGTGGGCCGCGGGGCGAGGAGCGCGGTGCTGCAGGCCGCCACCCGGGGCGCGCCCCCGAAGGCGCCGGCCGCCGAGGAGGTGCTGTCGGTCAACTCGTCGACGGCCACCCTGTTCCTGGACGCGTGGCCCGTGGCGGGCTGCCCCGTGCTGTACTTCGTGGTGGACGTGCGGCCCTACGAGCACGCCGGCGAGTGGACGGTGGTGGACCACCACGCCCTGGCCCAGCAGACGCTGGCCGTGGCCGGACTTGCCCCCGCCTCCTGGTACGAGCTCCGCGTCGACGCCCACTCCGAGGCGGGCTCCACGCGCGGCCAATTTGTGTTCGCCACCAGGACCAAGACGGGCGGTGAGTATCCTACAAAGAGGATGATGTCTATTTTCGTGCGTGTGTTTATTTTCCTGTCGTATCCTCAACCTTTTACAACACTTATTTATCCCATTCGCGTCTATGGCATGTCTCAGACGCGGTGCCCCTGGAGCTGATGCCGGCCCTCCCCGACAGCCCCGGGTCGCTGGCGCTGCCCACCCCTGTCACGCTGCTCGTCGCCGTGGTCTCCGGTCTCGTCTGCACGGCTGCCGCCGCCACTTGCGCCATCATCGCCTTCCGAAAGAGGTGTGTACGCCCGCCCCTCGTCCCCGTGGGGGGTCGCGTTCGGCCACAGAGTGCGTGTTGACGACCAAACCCCAATCGCCACATCCTCGGCCGCATCCCCCTCCCTCCATAAACAGCCCCGTCTTGGCGGTGGTGCCTCCCGCCACATGGAGCGTTTGCTCCGCTCCTCAGGTGGCCGGTTTGCGTAATGTGCGGACGATGTGAATGACTGCAGGCAATATGCGGGTTATAGGAGGGGGGACGCCAAGACCTTGGACGAACTGCAGAACCAGCGCAACCTCGAGCACCACCACCATCACGTCCACCACGGGCACCAGGGGCTGCACCACCAGCAGGACCTGTACTCGCCCTCCCCGGTGCGGAAGGGCGGCGTCACCTCGTCGCTCACGGGCCAGAAGGGCAGCGACACTTCCGGTACGTAATGAGAGTAGGGATTTTGAAGTCCGAACATTTTACAAAAAATGTCTAAGAATCCTTTTTTAGAAAATTCAAATCCCTAAATGAGAGTGGGAGTACTGCTTAGTAAAAACGAGTAATGCGCTGTTATACTCAATTGTGCTTCTTTCGTCGCAGACTACGAGATCTGCCCGTACGCCACGTTCAGCCTGTCTAACGCGACGCCCGGGGCGGGGCCGGTGGCGGGGGCGGGCACGCTGACGCCCAGCAAGTCGCTGGCCAGCTACTCGCTGCAGCTGCACACCTTCAGCCAGCGCGACTGCTACGCTGAGGGGCCGCCGCCGTCGGCGCGCCGCAACGCGCACTCACGGTCCAGGAGCAAGTCGTCGCTGGGGGCGGTCTCGGGGGCGGCCGTCGCGGCCCGGGCGGTGGACGGCGGCGATGGCGCCGCGCCCACGAGACCCACCGCCAGCCCCCCCGACGGGCTGAGTCTCGGTGAGTCCTCAGCTTACCCTGTAGAATGTGGACTACGAGCTACGAGCACAAACGTCTCGTCACGTAATGACAGCAGCGAACAGCAGCAACGCCCAGTCTCATTGTTGTGTCTCTTTCTCAGAAATATCGTGCATCTCCAGTCAGCAGACGCTGCCCATGTCGTTGGCCATGAGGCGCAAAGCCGCGTCGCCTACCCACGGCAGAGGTAAGCATAACGCAGTTTCGATTTTAGTTTTAATATTTTTTTTCTCAATTAAATCTGACTTTGGTGTACTGGTGACTTGCAGGCGTAAGCCGACCGAGGAGCCTCGTCGGGACGCCGGGGCCGCCGGCGGGGTGCGGCGGCCGGTACGAGTCGGACAGCAGCAGCCCCAGCGACAAGCACCACCAGCAGATGTACGGCTACCGCCCGCAGCACGGCCCGCTGCACGCCCAGACCCCCAAGCGGCGCTCGTCACGCAGCCACGACAACGGTGCGGGTAGGCACCAGAGAACACTAGTACGCTTTTGTGCGCCAACTTTCAGGCGGATGAAAGCACAAATTGCCTACCCACAAGGCGTTAAAGTCTGAAATTTTAACGGAAAAACTGGAAACTTTTCCAGAAAAATTTTGTAAAATATTTCCGGAACAATTAGAAAACAATGCAATTTCCCGAGAATGCTTTTTTGTAAGATTGAAATCCCCCC